AGTGGGCTTTATCCCAGGAATGCAAGGATTCTTTAATATCCACAAATCAATCAATGTAATACACCACATTAACAAACTGAAAGATAAAAAGCCTGTGATTATCTCAGTAGATGCACAAAAAGCCTTTGACAAAATTCAACATCCATTTATGATAAAAACTCTTCAGAAAGCAGGCATATAAGGAACATACCTCAACATAATAAAAGCTATATATGACAAACCCACAGCAAACATTATCCTCAATGGTGAAAAATTGAAAGCATTTCCCTTAAAGTCAGGAACAAGACAAGGGTGTCCACTCTCACCACTACTATTCAACATAGTTTTGGAAGTGTTCGCCACAGCAATCAGAGCAGAAAAAGAAATAAAAGGAATCCAGACAGGAAAAGAAGAAGTAAAACTCTCACTGTTTGCAGACGACATGATCCTCTATATAGAAAACCCTAAAGACTCTACCAGAAAATTACTAGAGCTAATCAATGAATACAGTAATGTTTCAGGATATAAAATTAACACATAGAAATCCCTTGCATTCCTATATGCTAACAATAAGAAAACAGAAAGAGAAATTAAGGAAACAATACCATTCACCATTGCAAGAAAAAGAATAAAATACTTAGGAGTATATCTACCTAAAGAAATGAAAGATGTATATATAGAAAACTATAAAACACTGATGAAAGAAATCAAAGAGGACACAAATAGATGGAGAAATATACCGTGTTCATGGCTTGGAAGACTCAATACTGTGAAAATGGCTCTACTACCCAAAGCAATCTATAGATTCAATGCAATCCCTACCAAGCTACCAACGGTATTCTTCACAGAACTAGAACAAATAATTTCACAATTTGTACGGAAATACAAAAAACCTTGAATAGCCAAAGCAATCTTGAGAAAGAAGAATGGAACTGGAGGAATCAAGCTGCCTGACTTCAGGCTCTACTACAAAGGCACAGTCATCAAGACAGTATGGTACTGGCACAAAGACAGAAATATAGATCAATGGAACAGAACAGAAAGCCCAGAGATAAATCCACATACCTATGGACACCTTATATTCGACAAAGGAGGCAAGGATATACAATGGAAAAAAGACAACCTCTTTAACAAGTGGTGCTGGGAAAACTGGTCAACCACCTGTAAAAGAATGAAACTAGAACACCTTTTAACACCATACACAAAAATAAACTCCAAGTGGATTAAAGATCTAAATGTAAGACCAGAAACTATAAAACTCCTAGAGGAGAACATAGGCAAAACACTCTCCGACATAAATCACAACAGGATCCTCCATGACCCACCTCCCAGAATATTGGAAATAAAAGCAAAAATACACAAATGGGACCTAATGAAACTTAAAAGCTTTTGCACAACAAAGGAAACTACAAGCAAGGTGAAAAGACAGCTCTCAGAATGGGAGAAAATAATAGCAAACAAAGCAACAGACAAAGGATTAATCTCAAAAATATACAAACAGCTCCTGCAGCTCAACTCCAGAAAAATAAATGACCCAATCAAAAAATGGGCCAAAGAACTAAAGAGACATTTCTCCAAAGAAGACATACAGATGGCTAACAAACACATGAAAAGATGCCCAACATCACTCATTATCAGAGAAATGCAAATCAAAACCACAATGAGGTACCATTACACACCAGTCAGGATGGCTGCTATCCAAAAGTCTACAAGCAATAAATGCTGGAGAGAGTGTGGAGAAAAGGGAATCCTCTTACACTGTTGGTGGGAATGCAAACTAGTACAGCCACTATGGAAAACAGTGTGGAGATTTCTTAAAAAACTGGAAATAGAACTGCCATATGACCCAGCAATCCCACTTCTGGGCATACACACCAAGGAAACCAGATCTGAAAGAGACACATGCACCCCAATGTTCATCGCAGCACTGTTTATAATAGCCAGGACATGGAAGCAACCTAGATGCCCATCAGCAGACGAATGGATAAGGAAGCTGTGGTACATATACACCATGGAATATTACTCAGCCATTAAAAAGAATTCATTTGAATCAGTTCTAATGAGATGGATGAAACTAAGTAAGTTTTATGGGCAATTTCAATAAAAACCGTGAAGGAGTCATTTGAACACAATAGAAAGTGAAAGATAAAGACATGGAAATAAATGCTTAAACTTATATATTAGCATCCTCTGGATGCTGTAGTAGAAGATTACAGACTGAATGACTTACATAATATAAATTTATTTTCTCCTATTTCTGAAAGTTCACCATCCAAGATCAAGGTGCAGTAAAAGTTGGTTTCTGGTGATGCCTTTCTCCTAAGCTTGTGGACAATACCTTCTCACTGTGACCTCATGTGGCCTTTCCTCTGTCAGGACAAAGAAATAACTCTTTCTCTTAAGTTCTATCAAATTAGTCTACTTCCTACAACCTCTTTGAACTTTAACTACCTCCATAAAAGCTATACCTCAAATTCCAATCATATTAGGGTTTAGAATATGGCAACCCACTGCAGTATTCTTGCCTGAAAAATCCCATGGATGAAGGAGCCTGGTAGGCTACAGTCCATGGTGTTGCAAAGAGTTGGACACGACTGAGTGGTTTCACTTTCACTTTCAGGGCCTCAACATATGAATTTTGAGGGGACATACTTCAGTCTATAACAACTGGTTTACAGGATGATAAACTTCTTCTTGGGGTGTATGTGGTTTTACTATTTCTAAGATCAGCTCTGGTCATGTCAAAAATTTAAATGAATAATGTTTTTCTGTTAGGTAATTTGGAAAATATTATTATACAGAAAAGGAAACAGACCCAGAAGTTAACCACTTTCTGATGCTAGGGAAGATTGAGGGCAAAAGGAGAAGGGGACAAAAGAGGGTGAGATGGCTGTATGACATCGCAACTCAATGGATATGAGTTTGAACAATCTCCATGAGATAGTGAAAGGTAGGGAAGACTGGCATGCCACAGTCCATGGGGTCACAAAGAGTCGACACGACTTACTGACAAACAACAAAGGAACCCACTTGGAACCACTACTGCTGACATGCACTGTTTATGGACGACCCCTCAAGTTTCCAGTACTACACAGGCCTCAGATGTAAATTTTCCTAGTTAATACTGTTGCTTGTTCAGAAAGAGGCAGTGGGACAGAAGTAGCAGTGATTAGGTTTGATAAGCACAAGTGTAGGTGCAAAGGAACCTGGTAAAGTCCAGGATGATCACAGCTCCCACCTCTCACCTGGTCCATGCCTTCTTGATACTCTTAACTCTGCTCTGTCCCATTGCCATCATCATGGTTCCTCTGGTCCTCCTGCAATGCTGCTTCTGAGTCACACACATACACAGAGTGGAGCTTGAATCTCAGTCTCAAAAACCTGTACCCAATTCCATGGTTATACCCCAGTGCCATTGTCACACCCATCAGCCCATTTGCAGGGGGAAATCTCTGAGCATCAAGGTGAAGAAAAAGGGTTTCAATAGAAGAGAGGAGTTATCTGATGAAGAAAAAGAAGTGCAACTTGCCTCTTCCAGTATCCATGTTCCTTTCTCTCTTATATATTTTCCAAATGCACAGTCCAGTTCCCAGGAAGTATAGCACAAGCACAGTGATACATAGGATGACTCCAAAGGGGCCAGAAATGGTCTGTTCTTGTGAACCTGTTTCCCTCACACAGAGAAAATGGAGAATGGTTAAGGGAAGACAAAATTTTAAATATCCATTGCCATAGGGAGATAGAAAACACAAGGGAAAGTCTAAAGGCCTGGTTCAGAAGTTGAAGAGGTAAGAGTGCAGTAGGTTCATTCATAACTGAACTGAGAAAATACCACCTTGTACACATGCCTTTGGGGTGGGCCTTCCAGAGGAGGTGATGCATAAACTGAGTCTTGAGGGAGGAGTAGGAGTTCCCCAGATATTCAAGGTGGGCGGAGAATTTCAGAAAGGAGGAGCACCATGTTCAGGGAATCTTACTGTCAGATCATCAGCCCTGAGGGTTGCCATCAGCCCACGCTGCAAGCTGGAGAGGGACAGAGCAGGAAGGAGCCAGATGAAGAGGGAGAAAGAACCTCCTTCCCAAGGGTCTTACTGAATGTTTATTTTAACTGACAGTCCATGATGAGGCTGAGGGGAGGGTTATAGGGGTTTAAGTGATGCTGACATATCAGATGCCTCCAGCAGGTCAGGTCTCCCTTGTGGAGGATGGGTTAGAAGGGCGAACTACACACCTTCATTCATGATTCAATGAAACAGTGAATGTGAGCAAACATTGCCAGAATCTTTGCATGGGACATGAATTCAAAGAAAACAAGACATGGCCTCTGCCCTCCAGGTATTCTAAGTTACACAGGAGACAAGTCCATAAACAGAATTGTTAACTCAGTGTAGGGTGGCCTTGGACCACTCCTTTATAAAGATAATGTCTATGCTGGAAGATCACAGTGCCTGCAAGGCCCCATACCAAATGAGATGGAGGTTCCTTTTCTTCGAACACCATCAAGAGCAGAACCATAACCAAGTACAGGACCCTGGGTAACCATATTGATCATCCCCCATGAAGCTGGCCTTAACTGAGAGACATCCTTCAACAGTAGTAAGTAAGAAAGTGAAGGGCTCTTGACTTTGGAGGACTGATGGTAGATGAAAGAGCATTTCCAAAGGGTTGGAGGCTTGTGATAGCAAGACTCATTCGGGTCCTAGTTAACAATCCAGTGTGAAATATGAGAGGAGAGAGACGTGGGCAGAGAAGCATTTAAGCCCTGAATCATACAGGGAGACACTGGAGGACAGTCCCTCAGATGGCACAGCTGACACAACCCAATTCCCTTTTCCTAAGACCACAATGAACACACAATGAATGATTAGTGATGTGGGGAGAGTGACTGAAAGGCTGCTGTCTGGACCAACAATGGCAAGGGGTGAAGAGGAGAGCATGCATGTGCGAGAAATTTAAAAGCAGAAGCAAATTGGTTGTGCTTCCCAGGCTCCTGTATCGGCTGACCCCAGTGGAAGGAGGTGCTAATAATAGAGTGGGGAGAGAAGCCCAGAGCTCTCACCCAGAGCATGTGAACTCCAGGAGTGCCCCTCCCCTCTGGCAGGCTGCACTCACCTTGGGAGCAGACTTGCGCAAAGTCTACAGAGGCAGTTTTCTTCTCCACATGGTTGCTGACAACACAGGTGAGGATGGCACTGGGCTGAATCAGGGACAAGTTCACAGTCAGTTCCCAGGAGTTGGGGTCTAGTTCCGGCGTCCCACTCCACTCCAGCTCCCTGGGAAGGCCCTTGCTTTCCCAGGTCACACTCAGGTCTTCTCTCTTTCCTGGGACCTTACACTCCAGAGTGACATTGCACCAGCCTGGTGTGATGGATGATGACTTGACCAGGATCTCAGGAAGGATCACAGGCTCTGGGGCAGGTGAGACAAAAGAATGGAGCATCACATGAGTGGACAACTTTACAGTTCACATTTTCTCATCCATTATCTCACTGAAGCTCTGGCAACCTCCCTCTCAGGATGGTGAATGCATTTTCCAGAAGAAACACTATTTTCCCAAAACCCAAATATACAACAATGACAATAAGAAAAGAAGCAATTGAGGTAAGCCCTATGTGATCTTACTAGATTACCAAGCCTTAAAATTTTTCCATTAAAAAGAAAAACTGTATGCTGGACCTCACCTTCCAGGATGCATTGTATATAAGAAATTGGGATGTTTCCTTCTTTTGAGGGGAAGAAGTCAGGGAAGGAAGGACTTGACCTGGTCCAGGACCATTGCCCTGCTTCTCCTGTTCAGATGATGCATGGGACTACACAGCCCTTATGGAGCATTGACATACAGCCTGTGCTGTGATGCCAAAAGTAGAGACATTTCTGAGAGATGCAGTGGCAGTCACCAGCAACTACAAACCGAGTGTGGTTAGGACATGCCACTAAACTTGAGGTCCACACAGGCAGAGAAGTCACTGACAAGTTTGTCATAGATATCATGTGGGAAACTAAAGCTGTCAAAGTCACTCTTGTAGCAGATATTTCCCTATGCAGCAGAAACTCTAGGGAAAAAAGAGTTGACTAATGAAGCTCTTAAGATGTATCACTGTGTAAATTTTCTCCTGTATCTATTGAGGACTTGAGAGCTAGATGGGAGGGGTCTTAGTGAGCAGTTATATCTCTGGCCTTTTCATACCAGAGTTTGAGCAAGCTCTAGGAGTTGGTGATGGACAGGGAAGCCTGGCATGCTGCAGTCCAGGGAGTGGTAGAGTCAGACACGACTGAGTGACTGACCTGAACTGATACTTCTGGCTGGTGAGAAGAGAGAGGACAGGGAGGACTAGCTACATATGGATTTCCAAATTGTGGTAGATGAATAGTGCCCCAACCTCCGGAGCCTCTGAATGTGTTAGGTTATTTGACAAAGGGAAATTAAAGTAACAGATGAATTAAGGATATTTATTAACTGACCTTCAAATAGGGAGATTATTCCAGAATATCTGGTTGGAACCAAGGTAATTACAAGTGTCCTTACAAGAAGAAGAGGGAAGAAGAGGAGGATGTCAGAGAGATCAATGTGAGAAGGAATTGTCCCTCCATTGCTGGCTCTGAAGATGGACAAGTGTGATCATGAGCCCAAGAATGCAGGTAGACACTAAGAGGCCCAAGGTGAAAGAAAATGTTTGTTCCTCTGGATCCTCCAGGAGGGCACACAGCCCTGACAGCACTGAGAAATGGAGCATTTCCTGCCATATCAATAAACAAGGATGTCACAGCCATCAGTGATTCAAGCCCCCAAATATGAACTTCTGAACTCAGAAGGGGCCCAGGAAGAACAGTGCCTGTTATCCTGCAGCCATTAGTCACTCCCCATGGTGATTACTGAGGAGATGGGTTAGGGGGGCAACAGGGGTGTGAAAAAGCCACAGAGAGCTAAGATGAATATGAAAGGAGTGATTTCAGTAAGCCCAGACTTTTTCACCTTCTCACACACAGAAAAGCACTAAATCCTTGAGATATCTGCTTTTCCTTAATTAACAATTATCTTTTGATGTTCAAACTACCTGCCCCTTGTTGCAAACTTCTATATGACCTGACTCCTCCCCCTGCCTCCTCAGAGCAGTTCTCTCAGTGTTACTTGAGATGCTGTCTCTCAGGCTTGAAGTCCTAAAAATGTCCCCTGAATAAAAAATAATTCTCAATTTCTAGCTTATGACTTTTTTTAAAAATCAACTTGATTTAGCCCAGTGAGACCCCTATTTGACTTCTGATCTCCAAAAAGATAAAATAATACTTTGGTGTTTTAAGCCACTAACTTTATACTAATTTGTGATAGAAGCAATAGAAAATTAATACACAAATCAAATAAACTGAGTCCTATAAAGAATAATAATTATTATGGCAAATACTAATGAAGAACTATCGATGGAGGTTCATAACATTGTACAGGAGATGGTGCTCATAATCATTCCCAAGAAGAAGAAATGCAAAAAGGCAGTGGTTATCTGAGGAGGCCTTACAAATAGCTGAGAAAAGAAAAGAAGTGAAAGGCAAAGGAGGAAAAGCAAGATATATCCATCTGACTGAAGAGTTCCAAAGAATAGCAAGGAGAGAAAAGATAGCCTTCCTCAGTGATCAATACAAAGAAATAGAAGAGAGCAATAGAATGGGAAAGACTAGAGATCGCTTCAAGAAAATTAGAGATACCAAGGGAACTTATCATGTAAAGATGGGCACAATAAAGGACAGAAACTGTATGGACCTAGCAGGAGAAGATATTAAGTGCAGTGGCAAGAATACACAGAAGAATTATACAAAAAAGATCTTAATGATCCAGATAACCATGATGGTGTGATCACTCACCTAGAGCCAGACATCCTGGAGTATGAATTCAAGTGGGACTTAGGAAGTATCACTACAAACAAAGCTAGTGGAGGTGATGGAATTCCAGCTGAGCTGTTTCAAATCCTAAAAGATGATACTGTTAAAGTGCTGCACTCAATATGCCAGCAAATTTGGAAAATTCAGCAATGGACATGTTGCAAGAATCTGACTGTTGAAACCAAGCACCAGAAATGGAGGGTTGGAGAACTCAGGTTTATTAAGCCTGCTGTCCCAGATGAGCTAACGCTCTAAGGTTCTGGGAGCCCAAACTCAGGATGAGCTTTACTCTTATAGGTTCAGTACACACAATTACACTTGGCACTGGCTGATTGGTTACCTGGGTGCTATGGGAAATGGGCAGTTACAGAGCACAAGAGTTGCTATGGGTTATGTGCAGGGAATTGTCAAACAGAAACTCATAGAAGCAGGAATAGAACATTCCATACTTTTCAGAACATCTTATGGTAATAGTCGATTGCTAGGTCATCTTTTTCCTATCTTGGAGCTGCAAGAATATTTTACAGAAGCAGAACTAGCATGAAGTTATTTCTGAGTGTAAGTTTTAAATTTTCCTCTTCAGTCTCCCCTCTTGAAGCCCCTTAAATCTTATAAGGCACCAACTTCTTGATCTTCTTGGCCCAGGGGCTGATAACATCTCAGGGCTATGAGGTGTGTGGTGCCCTCTGTCTGCCGCAACTTCTACTAGGCCAGAAACTGTCCTCATGATTAATGACAAAAGGCATGATAAGAGAAGGCAGGTCCAAAGGAAGAATACAACTATTCATGCTAGTGTTTTGAATCCTCCGTGATAAGAAAACCATCCCTCAAGTAGCTTCCAGGATTCCATCCCTTCCAAGTCTGGACTGGGACATGAGCTATTTTAGTCATTTTCCTGGTTATTTCTTCTATGACCTTGCCTTTATCATCTATCTGTAGACAACAGTTGCTAAGATTGAACTTCCCACAGATGCCTCCCCACCCCCTGTAGCCAGTAAGTAATCTAGAGCCAGGTGATTCTGAGAGATAACATTATGCATCTTGGTTTGTTGTTCTGCCAATAAGTTACAAAACTTGACCATTTCATTAGTAAAGATCTCAACCACCACCTGGAGCCAGATAATTGTGTTATGCATGTAAATTGGGGTTTGGTAGCCTCAGGACCCATCTTCTACTCAATTGGCTGGCCCATAGTGTAGGATTATACATTCAGGAGGACATTTGTCATCTTTCCAATTTCCAATCTGTAGATATCTGCACTTTTTGATGAGGACTTTGTCTTTATAAACTGGGACTCCCCATGATTCACCTTGGGCTAGGGGAAGTAGGAAAAGGAGAGATGGATAGTCCCCAATAAGCATGCCCCCTGACCCATTGGCTGGCAAAATTGAATATGCATTAGCCCCACAGATCCAACATAATAATCCTTCTGGAGCAGGCCAATGGCCTTCAGTGGACAAGTCATCCCATCTGGTCTTTAAATTGAGGAAGCTTGCTAGAGGGTGAGGATTAGGCTCTGTATAGTTTGTGTTTCCCCACCAATCAGAGGTGTGAGTAGTTACATTATAATACCTTTGGCCAAGACAAGTGACTCTTCCTACCAGAATGTTGAATATTAGGCCCCACAGCTCCAGACAGTTCTTGCCACTTATGGAAGTCTTTAAATGCCAAATTCTGAGCCTGGTTTCCTTGAATTCACCTGAGCTGTTGAAGGGTCTCTGGGGACCTGATCCTTTAGCTTCCCAGGGCCATTGTTCTCCCATCTTAGTTACCCCACACACACATCAAGAAATAATCCTTAATGTCTGGGCTATGTTCTTGGCTAGAGCTAAGAACAGGTTTTTACTTTTGACTGAAGAAGGAGGGGGACCACTTTCTATCTCTTTATGAAAAGAATGGAAGAGCTTGTGTGCAGATGCCAGGAATGGAACAGAAACACTCCGGAAATCCAACACAGTTCCTGGGTCAGCACATCTCCCATTAATATAAATACCAATTTTGAAACCATTTTTATTCATTTTGAGTCCCCGGGGTTGAAGATAGTGAAACTGACAGGATTATACATCCCTAGCTCACAATTGGGGCCAACAGTTCCCTTTTGAAGGAGAGTTATCTTCTTTTATCTTTTCACATTGTCCATATGACACAGCTCCAGTGAGGGCAGTGAGCCCAACAATCACCATAGCAAGAGTAGTGGGTGGGTGCTAATTCAAATATATATATGTCATTGAACGCATACTCTTGTTCCCATGATAAGCCCCACATTTTATAGTATTCCAGGGGTTTCTCTTAATAGCAGCACACACTTCAAAGTGTACCGCCACCAGAATTTCTAAATTTGTGATTTGTGTCGGGTTAATCAGAAGCCCTCCTTCTTGGTGCTGAACCTCTAACCAATCTTCACTAGGGGGCGATCTGGGGGTCAAACCAAATATATTGGCCTTCTTGTTGCCAAATAGAATAGGTTGCCATGTTATGAACACAAGTTTCTTGGGCCTCTCCTTGGCAGGGGAAGTGAGTATGGTGAAGCACGGTCC